CGGTAATTGGGGATAGATGGTGGGCACAAGAGGCCGTAGAGGACGGGGATAAGATGTGCAAGAAATGTTTATGTAGTTTGTGGCAGAAACGCAAAGAGCTCCCAAATGTTGGTGGTGTCTCGAGTAGGGGTAGGAACGGTGCTCCGTCTCGAAAGGTACGCGTGGTCAATGGTCAAATGACTACGGCAAGCAACAAATGAGTACGCCCCCCCCCCCCTAAGTTTGGATTTCCAACTAGCTTTTTCAACTCGGTCGCGAGTCGAAAATTTCTGACATTTTCAACTGCACAGAGCGTTTCCAATTTTTTTGGCCCGAGTTGAACATTTATTTCTCGAAAAAATCGATTTTCCAAACCGTAAGAAGCTCTGTTCGGCTGGGAATTGAAAATTTCAATTTTTCAACTGGAATTTTTCAAACCGTAAGAAACCGCCATAGTGCACATTTGAATCCTTTCCACTCACCTCGTCAGATTGCACAACGTACTTCGCCGCCGCCACCTCCTCGATACCCCCACCAACCTCCCCCTGCGCTGCCGCAGGCCCGCTGTTCACTGCTTCCATTGCCAGCGTTGTGTCCATATCTGCTGCTGCGGAGGCTTGCCATGGTGCCAACAGGAACCCCGCGGCGGCGGCCGCTATCGAGGAAAGCAGCTGATTTCGAGTCAGCGACAGAGCAGTTGCACCGCATTTCCCAACAGACTCCGTGCTGCTACCAGCCATGGTTGCAACAACAGCGCTGCTTGTGGCTGCAAGAGCTTCCCTTGGGCCGCTGGTGCTATCCTGAGGCGAAGCGCACCACCCCACTTTAGATACGCAAGCGCTGAGCGATCGCCGCCCAGCAGAACAAGTTCCACTTTCACGGCAGATTCTGTCATGTTTGCCGCGGGTCCTCTCGCAGCCTCGCTGCGCCAAGGCCGCGCCTGTCCGGAAAGCTCCGGCAGGATGCCAAAACGACACCAAGAGGAAACCACCCAGGAGGCCAAATTTCAGCATTGGTCAACACCGGACAATGGAGAAGGGCAGAGCAGGAAAATGGATCGGCTTGAGCTGTCGTTGAGGCGCTGGGCGGGACATGTCACATGTGCTCCGCGACATGAAGCACGAAAAAAATGCGTACTATATGTTGGGCGATTTCTCCATGGCGTGGCCCCTGGGCGCGTTGCTGCTGTGCTGGCTGGCATCCATCCTCTCTCGCTGCCCACTCGCGTTCTCTGCCCCGTTGTATAAATTGCCCCCCCCTCTCTCTCTCTTTGTCTCGTTGTAGTATCCGTAGTAGACTTAGATTATAACTCGTGATCGGTCCAGCCAAAGTTTCTGTTCAAGAGTCTCAATAGAAAGGTTTTTTTAGAGAGCGAGAGAGAGAGAGATGGCAGCGCCCGCGGCAGCAGCGAGACAGATCCCGATCGTGTGCCCAGGGCACTCCCGCCCGTTGGCAGAGGTCTCCTACTGCCCGGAGACGCCGGACGGAACCTTCCTGATCAGTGGTTGCCATGGTGAGTGAGTGGACAGCAGTCTTGGTGTCTTGAAGGAGAAGAAAGATGGCCTTGTTGTACGCACAACAAGGAAGATGTCGGTGGGCCTGCTGTGGAGGAGGAGAGACGGGACAGAGAGTACCGTCCCACCACTGTTGATGGATGTCACGAGGGTACATGTTGAGAGAAGACGTGTATGCCGCATGATCTCGTCCCCGGTGCCGTTGAGTTTTACCACGAAAGAGAGATGACCCGAAATAAAAGACAAGCGGACAATCCGGTGAAGGGAGGGGGGTGTGTGTGCTCATAGTCGTGCATGCCGTAGTCGCTCGACCATTGACCTCGCATCCCTACAAAGCCGGGACGGAGCACGCCGGGTTCTCACCGGACCAGGCTCTCACATCACCAAGCGCGAAGCGCCGTGAGATATTCGGCGAGTCGCATGAAGGGTGCGCTGCATCCTGCTAAGGGTGTTCGGCATCTTGTGCTTACTTCCTTGCGTACTGACGACAGCTGCCCATGACTTAATTTATTTTCTGGTGCTTTCACTTTCTGAGACAGATGCAAGGCCACTTGTTACGCTGTCTCTTTTTGGGCTGTCCCTTTTCTCAAAAGGGGACAAAGTTGCCCAAAAAGGGACAGGATGGGGTGATCTTTTTTCGCTGTCCCTTTTCGGGAGGTTCAAAAACGCAAAAAAAGACCACGTAACAAGTGGTTTTTGGTCAGTTGTCCCTTTTTGAGAAAAGGGACAGCCCAAAAAGAGACAGCGTAACAAGTGGCCTAATAAGCACTGTGTAACTGCCTAGAGGGTGCTTGACCATTGTAACACAACGTGGTGCGATCATCCCCCTTGCGCGGAGTGAGGGTTCTCGACCCCGCACAACATGATCGACTCGACCACCATTATGGTTACCGCCAAAAAAAAAAGAGGTAAAAAAAGAAAAACGGTAACCTGGTTGCCGAGTTCACGAAGTGACTTGGCTTGTTTTACAACGTCGTTGCCAAGCAACGAACCCAATCCCGATGGCAAACACCGAAGGCGGGGCTTGTTTTACAACGTCGTTGCCAAGCGACGTAAACCCAACCCCGACGGCAAACACCGGGGGGGGTGACGGGAGGGGCAGAGACGAAAAAGACCGAAACGTGCCGCCGGTGTTCGGTGGGTGCACGATGTAAGATTTGAGGGCAGGCGCCCACCGCGTGTATAGCCCGGCCGCTCTGCTCGTATTCCCAACACACCATTGGTCGGGGGGGGGGAGAGGTATTCCTTCGTTGGTTACAAGTGTTTTTTTATTGTTAAAACGGTCAGAGACATTGCATTTTCCATGTCATGTATCGCCGAGAGAGCAGCTGCGCGGGATAATTAAGCTTGAAACTTGAAGCCACGGGAAAGACGCGGGAAACATGGGACCAAGCTGTACATGAGCACCTCACCCTCGACAAAGGTCTGCCGTAGTTCAAGTGCTTCGAGGGAGCCTTTGTGACGACATCATGAGTCCATCCGCGAAGGCCGCGTGCTAACGATGTTCGACGAATATAAAATGAGCTCTGATTGGTCAATAGGAGCAAAAACCATGACAAGCCTTTTCTGGGTTTCCAGCAGAGCTAACTGTGAAAATCTCGCGTGGGAATTTTGGATGAAACAATCATGCCTTGTTGTTGCCATTGCGATTTGTTCATAGCAAAGCTATAACGAGGCGAAACGGTTTCGCCGCAGCATGTTCCACCCTGTTCTTGATGTTGTCGCTGTTTGCTCTCCATCTGTAACCGCCGTGCAAACCGAAACCGTTCCGAAAAACACCCCGTCAGCCAAGACCCCGATGATCCGCAACGGGTCTACCGGAGACTGGATCGGGACCTTCGTGGGGCACAAGGGGGCGGTGTGGGGGGTGGCGCTTGACGACACGGGCCTCCTCGCGGCGACAGGTGCGTTGTGCTCGCTCTCTCACGTTCCCTCGGGCGACGTTGTTGCCGACGCTACACTGCACTGCATCCAGTTATAAAAAGTAGTAGCCTTCGCGTCCTGCCTTGGCACTCCTTACCATCCGTCTTTTTTCACGAATTTTCAAATATGCAAGTGTGGTGGCTACGGTGTACCAACGCTTGGTTTGCAAGTACGAGAAAGGGAGGTGCTAGCTGGGTCTGGTGGGCACCTTACCTCGGCCGCGTTTCGTCGTGTACTTGTCTTTCCTTGGACTTGTCTGAAGGATTGTTACGCCTAGCACAGCAGTAGTGCATATCGGTTGTCGTGCCTACCTGCCGGAACCAACCAAAACAAGCAAAACTTTTTAGTGAAGAACCAATTGTTCGTGCAACAACGTTTTCTGCTGCTTTGCTGCGAACACACAGCACATGAAGAATGCGTTCACCGACACCAGCTCAACACAACCATGGCACAGCCAGCAACAATTCCCCCCCTCAATCGCTTGCTCTCTCTCGCTCTTTCGTCATTCCCGCCTGTCATTTCTGATCTCTCACCCCCCCCCCCCCCCCCCCCCCCCCCCCCCCCCCCCCCCCCCCCCCCCCC